GTTCGGGAGTTACGGGTGGTTAAATTCGCGGTCCGGCGCCGACCGATCTAGCAATCCCGGGGAGCTACCGACGCGCAGAGGGTGGGGTTCGAGAGGGCTCCTCGAGCTGAGGGGATCCCCCCAATTTGATGGAGATCCGCCGGCGCGTTCGCGAGAAGGGATGTTTTGAATGGTTTTTGCAAAATACTCGATAATGTCAAATCGCACATCGTTAAAACAACAATTACAATATTATCGCAGACGATATATATCGCACACCCCTACAACACACCCATTGAAGCTCTGCACAGAATTGTTTTTCTCAATTGACTTCTTTTGACATGGCTGAAGTTGTTCAATAGCTGAAAGCACTAGTGAGCATTTGGAAAGCTCTGGAAGGATAAGCAGAGCCTCAGGGGTACATCAGAGGTTGGAACAGTACTATAGAGTGTGTAACAATACTTTCGGAAGTAAAAATCCCATTCATTTCCTCCATAGGGAAATTTGATTTTTAACAATAAATAACTTATAAACCTTCAAAGACAGACTTGTTGTGATCTCCAAGATTGTTAATCAATGGACTATGTTTTGTTGAAGCAATCAGGCTAAAATGATTTAAATGTGTCTCTTTGAATACAGTGCAGTCGACAAACTATTGGCCATTTTGATAATAGGGCCAAGATCTAACGTTGTCAGTAGATTTTTGGTGGACTTCCTGGTACATTTTGTGTTTTAAATTGTATTTGGGGAATTCTGAGAAAATATTTTGTAATGTAAATTTTAAGTTGAATTCAGTTTACATTTTTCATTTAATGTAGATCTAATTAAATAATTATACTGGCCATCATCCACCTGGATCTTTATATCAGTATCTGCAGTGACCACTAAAAGACCCATATCTGTCGACCACTAATTAGAATCTTTTGTTATGCCTGTCAGTGATTTAACTGTTTATGCCTTTCTTCAATGCAAATGGCTAGCTGAATTGATAGTCTTGTGTAATCAAAACACATCTTGATCATCTGTGGTTGGGCAAATTCCACCCATACAAGCAGCTCTCTGGCTATTATATTTATCTGCTCTGTGAGTAAAGGCTTATGTGAATAAATCAACATCATTAGTCTGGCTGCTTTGTTTGCTTGCTCACATGGGCTGTGCATGATGATCAGTCAATACTACGCTGGAGCTGGCATGCTAGATGCAAACCCACATAACATCCAAATTACAAAAGCCTTGCCGGGAGGGTTGGAGATTGGAGCGGGCATGTTTATCTCTGCCTATTGTAAAAATCATCTTGTACAACAGCTAGCTTGTTGTGCAAAATGAAATGTAGGCTCTCTTTTACCATTGTATGCACCAGCACAGATGAATATGAGTTGAGCATGTTGCATTCAAGTGATGCAAATTTGTTTCAGTAAGTGATAGACTGTTTTTCAGTTCACCACTAGCTCCAGTGTGCAAATATGTTCAGTAATCTTATGCTACAAAAATCTTGATCATGTTATTTCAGCCTGTCATACTGCCACACACATTATTATCTGTCCTACAGGCTCGTCAAGGTCTGTTTTTACACTGGTGTCTTGTGCTGGGCCTCAAGTAATGTGATGCTAATGGGTGCTGGGTAACAAGAGTGATGTCAGCTGTCATTCACAGTCTTCACGGGGGCCGTAGTCTTTCAATTCAGCCTGATAAGGAGGATGAACATCAAGCCATTTGCAATAATGAGATGAACCTTTGAGCCAGTGCAATGTCCATTATTAATGAATGCTTTTATCTTAAGAGCAAAACCACTGGGCCTGATCAGTACGCTTGACTGCTTTCTGACATCACGTGCAACGAACAAATCCAAACTTTAAAAGCACAAGGCCATTTGTTCACACTGCTTTCATGTTTCCAACTTTTTGTGCTCTTGCTTAAACTGCCATATCTTGGCTCTCGGTTAACGCCTCCTCTCTTGTGTTATAGCAACTCTACACCCGTCTCCATGTGGAGACCTGAGCTCTTGGCATTGGGTGTAATTAACACGACCTGTACGGCAACCCAGGAAACTGGTTGTGCTCGACTCAAGGCAAAACTGTTCAAGTTTGGGTTTCACAGCCATAACACAGGAACCTGTTTTCCCAGGCTAGGAAGTGGGGGAGGAGGTGGAGATTAGGGCTGTTCCTGGAAGACGGCACACTATTTTTTTTTTATTCTTCAGTGAGGTGCTGCTTTCATGTGTGTGCACAGGCATGGTGAGACCAGCAGTGTGGCAGCCAGGGGGCTGGGTGCGGGAAAACAGGCCGGCCACTCCCTCCACTTGTACCAGCCTGTTCCATAATGAAGCGCGCTGTCAGGGGATCATCTTTCTTCAGCCCCGGTTTGAAAGCCAAACATTGGAAGGCGCCTGAAAAATGTGCCGGGCGCTTAAAGAAACACTAACCTAATACGCTCCTTCAG